GTGGGGGACGGGAGGCCTCCGCCCCTCGTTAGGCTGACTACGTGTTCAAGTTGTCCTTCACCACATTCGCACTGGAGTGACGTTGGTGAAAAATCGATACGCAGATTGGCAAATTGCCAGGAATCATCAGCTGGTCGACCGCCTCGTACAGGAGCTAGTATTCGGCTGTTATTTCTATTTTATGTTTGTTATTTCTATTGTTTTTTTTTTGTTATGAATTTTTCACGGTAGCATTCTTTAACTATTCTCGTAAGTTTATTGAAGATTTTAACATATTTTGTGTAGATTATTGCATGCAAATGTTTTTTTATTTAAGAAACTCCGTTAATTCCGATGTGTTGTCTGTATTGCAGACATTGCGTCGCCTTCGTGCATTCTCGCTCGAACACTCCCCAACCGTCGTTTTTTTNTTTTTTTTTGCGCTTTTTCAATGTTATCGCTTTATTCTAGAGTAGTTCTATCTATTCCCGTCAAAAAAAGGGTACCCTTACTTTTTTGTTAACAGTGCCTTTAATAAATACATTGTCCAAGCAAATCATACAAAAGCAAAGATACATAGTACAACAACAGCAAAGCGGAAGAGCTTATCATTGAGCCACCTTCTCACTGACAAATCGAGCCATGCACCTGCAGTAAGTCGTTATTGTTGCCGTTCTGGGAAAGCTTCTCGCCCGGCTGAGCCGCCTCAAACCTGGTCACTTCCTGTTCGAAGCGACGTCTTCGTCATCTGTCCTTCCTTCGCAATAGCCTCGGATGAATTCTTCGCTGTCGTTGGCAATTTTACTAGTACCGTTGAAAGATTAACCTGTACAAACCAAACTTTTCAACGTTAACAAAGTGCCTCGCGTTTTCGTTACAGGCGCTTGCGGAAGGCACTTAACCTGCACAAGCACTCCCACGAACATGGAAGAAACTATATGAGCAAGCAGATAGGGAGTTACATTCCAATGGACCAAACCTATTGATCGAACAGTTGCGTTTGTGGTCCGCAAGATTGACGCATTCCATTTGTTCCACAGGTCCTTGGAAACACCGTCATAATAACACTTTCCCAAATAGTCCAAAAATAAAGTGCACTTACTGTAAAATTCATATTCTCTGGGATTCCGGCAAAATGGCAAGTTCCTTCGGCGCAAATGCGCCTACAGAAATGGCATGCCCTTAATTATGTCCCACCTTTTCTGAATGGCTCTGCGCCTTGGGGTTCCCTCACCTCTTGGCACAACCCAAGCGCATCTTTTCGTCTGTTCCAGGCTTGCGCTGAATGAAAAGCGCAGCCCTCTACTGATGTGCCTGGAAAGCACCTCCTCGCTGCATTTATAGCAGCTTTTTTTCAATCCAATATGATCCTGATATTGGACACTCCGCCAGCTGTCTCATGTGTTTCTCTTTGCTTCCTAAAGATGCCCTCAAAGTCTAGCGTGGGTCATACCGAGTAGTTTGGCGAGTATTAGCGGCACATCCACAGAGTTCGCCATGACGCTGCGGACAGTGTACAGTTATCCATTGGCATTAATGGCGCTCGGCAGTAGGTTGTGAACACGTCTCCCACCAACCCAGACAAGCCAAGCCTGTACACTTCTGAAATTGAATGAACCAATCAGGTAATCGAAAAAAATTGCAAATTCATACTTCTTGTGACGGAACTTTATATCCCAGCCACAGAGAGTGTATCTCCCTTTTAAATACAATGGAATAATTTTTATTGATACGATTAAATAGAGACACGGCGAGACGACAATAGGAGCACGAGAGCGACCGCCACTCGTAACTCCTCTAACCAGACTGGTGCTAAGACTGGTTACGCTTCAGCTCCGACCACCCCACATCTGGGTGAACAGACACAAAGAAATATCTTTAACAAAGATGGCTGGAATGCTCGACACTTCTATTATCGCGGCGGAATTTTACATGTAAGTTTCTGCAGTGCATTACTGCAGAATCGGGGCGCTGCCCGGAAGGAAAGCAAATAGCTGCGGCACTGCCTTCAATAGGACACGGGATCCGTGCGACTTCAAAAGTGCTCGCTGGACTCATTATGCGAGCTCTAGCATCGACTGGTTTGATTTGGTTTAGCACATGATTGCATGGTAGTGCGACTAATATCCGTTTCTGTAAACATAGAGCAACATATCCTTTCGTTCAACCTCACCTGATTATGGCCCAGTAACAACTGAATGTGAGTATCAAAAAAGAAGCTTTCTTGTGCCTTCATATCCACCTCTTCTGCCAAGTTCTGGTAAATGGGTCTTGTAAGGGTCCCTCCTAGGGACTACACTGAAAGGGGCTATCTGCTTCGAGTGTGAGAGAAGTGAATAATTTATTAACGGAGCGCAATAACGAAATCACAGACAAAAGTACCAAAATGATGCACAAACAAACGGGTACAATCATAAATCCCCCCGTGGTAAGAACAGAGAGAAGGCGGTGGACCCTACCAAAGATGAATCGGCCACCAAGGCCATCCTAAAGTCACCTCCTTCGCGAACCACAGAGGTTCGCCTGAGAGCAGTCACCGAGGGCCTAACGGCACGGAGTCACCCCCGTGGGGTACTGACGACGGGAGACGGAGAAAATACAATTGAGACCTCCTCCTCTCGAGGGTCTCCCTTTATACGGTCTTCCTTTGATTTCCCCAGGCATGTTTACTCTTGCTAGCCTCCTACCTCCTGATCACTACTGATCACCTACAGTACTCTGATCACCCTCGACCCATCGGTGTTTTGATCTTACGGGCATTTCCTCTTTGGCGGGACCCCACCGCTGCGGTTCTCTCTGTCCCGCCCTGACAGTCTTGCTCTCATGTGAGCGAAACGCGAAGGTCCCTAAGTATGTCCTGACATGCCTAAGCAGCACTGGCTGTACACGATTTTATACATATGTAGCTTTTTCATGTACTCGCCTTATGACCTGTGCGTCTGGCTTTGCCCTGGGGTTTTTTTTCACGGTATGCACTCGTGCGGAAGCTTTACGAGAACACCTACGGGAATGGTTTCGTTTCTGACCTGAACCTGACCTATGAAACTTTTGATGAAGTTGGAACAACTTCGTCCTCTGATGAAGTTTCGCAGTACCGCTCTTAAGCATCCAGCACGTGCAGCGATAAGTTGCGCTGTCCGATGTAGTCGTCCACATATGTCAGAACGTGGGGTGTGGTGTGTAACGTCCCTCCTTAGGGACTTCGGGACTACACTGAAGTGGTGATTTTTTATGAGTGTGAGGCGACAAACGGCCATTTAGTAATTGTGCTACGTCGGGAGTCCCAGGGCATGGAGTCACAACTCAGTGGGAGCAGACGGCTGGCGGCGGGCGACAGAAAAAAACAAATGACGACTTCCTCCTCTCCAGGGTCTCCTTTTATACGGTTCTTCCCGCGACTTTTCTTTCCTCAGGTATGTGTACTTCTACGACCCCCCTACCTCCTCACCACCAGGTCATCTACAGTAATCTGTTCACCCTCGACCCATCGGTGTTTTGATCTCAAGGGCATCTCTTCTTGGGCGGGGTCCCACCGATGCGATTTTCTCTGTCCCGCCCTGACAGGTGCAGTAGGATCGAAATCGTCGCGCGGGGGTGAGAGTGACGTCGCGCGCGAAGGAAAGGAATGGAATACAACAGCATGTAAGAAATACAGGAACAAAAGAACTAACAGTAGAATCATGCCTAAAATAATGACTCATATTGAGAACGTTGTTCAAAGAATGCTAGAGCCGCATTAAAGGTGAAGTGAATGATCCGCGACAGCCGCGTGCGGTGAACTGACTACACGGGAGCGATCCTACTGCCCATCTCAACAGAACGTGTAGCACAGATGCTGCCCTTCAAAGAGTGAAACGTTTGGAGACTCTAATAATACTGAAGTTGTGTACCAACTCTTCGCGTAGCGGCCTTTGCTCTGGAGCGCGTTATCTCGTCGTTGTGCTTTAAAATACTCAAACAGCAGCCATTGTCGATTTTCGCCAGGACTCCACAGTTCTGTCGTAGATGTGACCGATTCGTTGTTTTTCATTCAGTTTTTTATTTGCTATGAGACTAGTTTTCCTATTATTTTCCATCAAGAGGTGCAACAATATTCCAAGCTCTTAAACAAAATAGGCTTACTTTATTTTCTGTTTCTTCCCTTATCGCTATTTTTAATTAGTTTTTTCCCTTGTAAGTATTCTAATGATTCTTCTTGCTCAAGGTCAAGACATGGCCCCGAAAGCAAAGCCATCCGATAAAAACAAGGACAAACAAAAGGGGTTGGAAGTATTCAGGTAAGTTTTTTTCATTATTTCGCATTGCCATTGTAATTTTATTTGTTCCCTGGACTCTCATGGGGATTTTCCATACATTTTCCCTGGAAGTAGTTTTTTTTGAAGGGCTGTCGTACACGTTTTCTGAATAGTCACTATTCTTTTTACATAATTCAAACACAAAATTAAAATTACCATATTCGAAAGACTTCTCGGCTTTCGCATACAGGAATTCTTCCATTTGATTGCAAGGCGGTTACAAGAATTCTTCAAATTGATTGCGAGGTATTTCGTCCGGTTTATTCTGGGAAACGTAAGGGCATGTGAGGAATTCCATATCACGGAAGGTTCACTTAAAGCCTTATTTTGCAGTAAATGATTGGCTAATTAGTTCTACATGAGTTCTTACCTCTTTACTTAATTTTTGTGATGGTAAACGCCAAACGTCTTGTCAAATGAAGTACATATTAAAGTGAAGAAATAGGAAAGCTCGCGATTTTGTGTTAAATATCCATGGTAAAGCGCTTTGACACCGCAATAGGTGAATGTTGAACACATTTTTCAAGATCCAAGAAGGTTAGCAGGCATTGAAGGCAAGTAAATTTGTATCTTGTCACTATCGTTTAGTTATTTAGGTTATTGTAGTGAATGAATGGTCCTGTGCTATTGAAATAATTGAGGTTATCCGATTTTAGATTAGCTTTCTGTTAATTTTATTATTACTGCTAATTTTTACAAACGTCACTAATAACTTTTGCTGATTGGATGAACACGGCCAATTCATTTAGGGTTGATTGGGTGCGAAGACGCTTCTCATCTTCCATTTTTTTCAGTGAGTCTGCAATGAGAAACAACTTCAGCTGCTTGGAGTATAGCAGGACATGTCAGGCTGCAGCTTCTGGGATGGCTGCAGGTACATCTAACACATTATCATGTAATGTATGACAAAGTATCAAGCTGATTGATGATTTAAGGAATTCTCGGACTGACAGGAATTCCTGGTTTCATTTTCTATTTTATTACCGTAGCTATTCAGGTGAGTGTCCTCTGGTTGTATCATTTAGTTTATGTTTTTATTTATGTCAATGTATTAAAATTAGTGTATTTCCGAGTTAAGTTTACGTAGTCGCAAAGGCACGGTATTGCGCTTGTAGGATCTTTGGTATCACCGTCTTCACAGCTCAGTCAAACGATTTTTTCCAGTTACTCAGGTGGAGGGAAAATCACTTTGGTCATCGAAAGCTGTGCCCCTTGAACTTTATGCTTGCGAATTTGAATTTTCTAAAAGAATGAACTATAGTTGGTCTTGAATGACCTCTTGGATGAGGTTTTACCCTTGACTTTTAGTTGGCTGTTAATCATTAATGGCGAGTTGCAGTAATAGAGCTAGCCTGCAAACATGAAGTCTCTCACTGGGAAAAATCTCAAGAAATATTTGGAACCCATCTAGTTTTCTGTTTTGGCTATTTCATTAAGATACACTGTGCTAGACGATAGCGAACGCTTCTTAGGGAGAGAAAGGGGAGAAAAGCCAAGACGTTTTGGGGTCGCAAATGTTCCGCATTGTATTTTACTTTGACTTCCTGATAGAAACAATGATGAAATGCAATTAATAGGTTTCTCAACCTTTCGAGGATGTTTTGCGTACGTGAATTTTCGCGGAATCGTAATATCGTTCAGGGAAGTAGATATACGGAACGTATTACAGCAATCGCCTCAATTTAAAATCAAAGATATCCTCAGAGTTGAGGCTATACTAAGTCCTAAACCAATAATAACTAAGAACGCAGGAATGTAAGTCTCTGTTGACCTGCACTTTTCTGTTCCGAGGACCACGTTCCTTTACTTGCCGCTACTGGCCTTTGCATTTCTGAAGCTATAGAAATATATTTAGGAAGTATTCGTTTTTCTTGCTACAATATTAATGCCCCTTGTATGAAGGTTGTTTAGGCTCTGTTTTGGGAAGCAAAGGCTGGTTTCGAATGGAGATCCTATTTCCTTGATCGAACTCTTTCCGTGACGCACTCAATTGTTGGTGGTTTATTTACGTACATACTGTTTTGGGTATTTCTTTATGGAATGGTTCATGTATACTAGATGTTTTTTCTGTTTCCATTGTTATTTATGCATCCTTTGTAATAAGTGCTCATGCTGGAGGTATAGCCTCGAAGAGCGAATGTCTGTGATCTACTCAGGATTTTGTTTCATTTCCACTCTCGTTTTCAACAAAAAACCATTATTTCTTTTCGGCGACTTCGGTATCAATACGAATTTTAACAACACTTTAATAAATCCATTCACAGCTTTTCCAGTGCAAACAAGACTTTTCATTCATCTTAACGAACATGATCATAGGCAAGTATTTCATGCATTTTTTTTNTTTTTTTTGCGAATTCGATCAATCTACACGCTCAGATGAGCCGACATTCATACACTAATTCACAGCTGAGGAGTCGAGTACAGTGTCCTTATTTGGACCCACCAGTTTTCGCACCTGACCTTCTTTTGCATTTTCCAAATATTTTGCTTGGGCAACTTGTGTAGAATATTTTTCGGAAGATTATCTGATTGAATGACCATCTGTCGAAGCATCGATAGCAGATGAACGAAATTCCGAGTCGCTCTTTGTGAAGGAATTTATATCACAATTATGAATAAGCTTCACAGACACACAACTCGAACCTGCTTTTCACATTCAAAAGCGATTCTCTGAACGAAGGGATGAAGTTAATTAATTCAGACGTTCAACACGATGAGGAAAAGATGGAAGTAGGTGCTAAGAGGCCTACTGATCGCCTTTCTTGAAAACGTGGCAACTGTTGTCTTATGCCATTCGTTATATCTGCCCGGACAGGTCCTTGAAGCGTGGGAAATTCATCTGAACACTAGACTGGCCGAGGGACAACTATGCATTATTTGAAGAGAACATTTGACCGTAATCCGTTCTATATATGGAGCGCTCGCGTTGCTCCCATCAACTATTGTCTGCCTGTCACGGAATTCGTCATTACCTCAGGAAGTACCTGAATAGGTTGGGTCAAGCTTGAGATAGGAAGGGTATAGACCAAGATGAAAAGAGCACATACGCGGAACCCCACCGGACTCCACTGTGGGACATACACTGCAGAGGACGGTGCCAAGGACTGAATTTTCCAACTGTTTCCAGAATGCTCAGATACACAAGAAAAGTGGGGCAAGGTGAAGAATGGGCTAACAAGTGGAACGAAGCAAATTCACCCGCAGTGGGCGGAGCGTTCTCAAATGGATGGTACCCACTAAGGAACTCATAACTCCATTCCAGTAAAGCCTGGAGGTCTGGAAAGTTGTGATAAACACGGTGCAAGGTGTGGTGGACGAAAACGACGAAGTGTATGCCTGAACCAACGAAATGCGGGGTGTTCTCAAATGGACGGTGCCTTCCATAACAATTCATCGAAGACGTTCAAAAATTCGGAAAAAAAGTGGTCAGAGGTTACCAAGAAAAGAGTGGTCAAATTTTCAGTGAGTAGAGCGGAAACGTGAGAATTTCGTATTTGTGAACGACCTATTAATAGCGATTTGTAAATGGGTAAGTGACCCGCAGACTCTTGTCCCATAAACTCCAAACCTTAGGAACCGTTTGGTGGGGTCGAATCATCGTGAATGGCATTTCCACATGTTCCAGAACTCTGAGGACGGCGATCTTGTCAGACTAAATGACTGTTCTTAAATAAAGTCTTTTGTTCGAGGCTTTCGTCTTCACTATGGCAATAATCGTTTTTCATCATAATTCCGATTGTTTTGACATATAGAGACGGTTCGCAATCAATTCTGTCGAATTGGCTCCAGGTGGGGCTAGAACTCGTCTGAAGTTGGAGCCACAATGCTAATATGCCCAATTGTTGGCAAGTTTTGTATCCAAAAGAAAACTGACCACAGATCCTAGTACCTGTAGCTACTGCTCAATTACTGATTTTCTTGAGAGCAAGCAACCACCGGTGCGTACCCTGTGGTGAGAATCAGGCTGTAGATTTAGTTTGCTTCCAAAATCAGGTTGACATACGGTAATGAGGGGTGTACGCGATTACACTGTTTGTCTGGTTTATACGTAACGTCATAGTAGGACACTGTAGTAGAGGTACTTGTGTAAATGGACCAGCGCAATTTTACGTACCAAAATTCGTCATTGTGGGCGTTGCCCGTCCTTGTGGATGTACCACTGCCCTGAAAGACGGTCATCGTCGTGTCTTTTCATTTTCAACCAATATTGCCGTCGATTTACCCAAGATTGTACTGTGGGTTTTGTGTTTCATTAGAGAAAAGTCTCGTGAAATCAGAGTTCCTATGTATATTCCGGATCTGTCGCCTCGTAGTTTTCCTAGTATTTCGAACTGGCGCCTTTTTTAGGTTTTCGGCATCTGAAGTTTCTATACTTATCGGCAATAATTGAGTTCATATTTTAATGGTCGTGCGATCAACGGTGCAGTCATCTTTCAATTTCAATCAAATCAAAACTAAAACTGTCGAGAATCTCATATTTCAGTTGATCAACGATGTGAGTTTCCTTTAAACCTATCAATGAATCATGTGCGTAGTGCATTGTGTGCCTGTTGAATTGAGCCGTATCAACCGTCAGTTGATACGACCCAATTCAACCGTCTGGGGTAAATTTTCTTGTCCGGGGCCTTTTTGTGGTTTGTAAAGTACTTATAAGTAGACATAATCATGATTAATACTCACCTCTAAATTTCCTTGTAGTAGTCGGGGTCCCAATAAGAAGGGATTTGAAAAAAATGCTCTTCGAAAATGTCTGAATGGAGCTTTTTTACGGTTCTTGCACTTTGCATTACTTCGTACAGCACCGGATGGGGTAATTGAGTGAGCGAAGCTTTCCAGTAATTGTCATGTACACCCTTTCAATTTGTGTGTAGGCAGTATTCAGAGGTGCTCAGTAAGCCGTGGCTATGGTTTTTGGTTCCAGGTAACAAATATCACTGAGACATTTCCACTACAACCTGGACAAACCGCTGAGAGCTTAGTAGTGGCCGTTGAGCGCAGTGTTCAACAGTTTCTTGAACAAGGCGATGCTGCCATCCGATCCTGTCCACTGGCACATGGATCTGCTCTTGAAACCCTATCTGATGCCTTGGTGGATGTGCGAGATACTGGTATGCGCTACGTTTCTTCATATTTTTTTCTTCTATCATACGCGTATGTAAAGGGGACAAACATTTCGAGATCTTGTTCGAAATATCCAGTTAAAAGAGTTTATCATATCACAACTTCTTCCCACCTTTATGACGCTTTCGTAAAATAAAAACTAGAATAGTCTTTCGAACTGGTTATCAACTTCCAATCTAAAAGATTTGATCAATAGAGTTGAGAGCTTTTCATCTAATGTTGCCGACTTTCACAATTGCACTTTGTTAAGGTCATCGCTCTGTATAGAGATTTTCATCAGTTTACGGTAGTTGAGCGCATTTTTCAAATTTTCAGTAGCAAACCTTTTCGTTTCTTCATTCCGGAGCACGCCTTCTTGAGGTATTTATATTTTCCTTCCTAGGAAGTAATCTGCACTTTTCCATCGTGTAGGTATCTGTTCAACTCTGAACCGTTAAATCATGTATTGATGTACTGACACACGTATGTTCACTATCAAATCGAGCACAGAAGAAATCTGAGCAAAAATCGAAAAGATGGTTAAGAAAGGTCTCCAAGTTCGGATACGACATTCTGAATTGGCTAATCAGATCGAATAAGTTGTAAAAGTGTTACCATTCTCAAATTTTATTTCGATACTGCGTTTTGGCTCAGATAATCTTTGAAGCTAACTTCCATTCCTGATAGGTAAAATTGTAATCATTGGTATTGAAATTGAAGCTTATTATTAGATTCATCTGCTAACACAAGATGGTCCTCAATTTCAAATACAAACTGCGATGACAAACTTTTGAATTTGGACTTTTCGAATCCTTGCAAATGTAGCTGGTTTATAATGTGCATCTACAAGGCGTTGGCTCACTCATAGGAAATCATTTGAATCCAACTGTCAGTTTTCAGCTCTGTCCATGTCTAATAATTATTGCTTCAGTTTTGGGTGAATACTATTGATTCTACAGGGCAGTCAATGTCGTATGCTGGACGTGATTTCATTCGGGATAGTTCATCGTCTCAACGGCGCGCCTCTGCAGTCAGTGCAGGGAAGTCTTTACTGCAGGTAGTAGTCTTCTCTAAAAAGGGATCAGTTATGGTAGTTGTGAAAGTATGTTAACTTGCATTTTTTAAGGCTGTCGCTCACTTCCTCATTCTCGCCGATTCGATAGATGTTGCACTTATTATCGAAGGCATAGATAAGGTTGGTAATGTACTCCAAAGGAATTTTTGTGAAATATTTTTTCTCCACTGGGGGGAATGTATGTTTGTAGGAAGTTTCTCTATTTGTGTAATTCCTGTTTCTGGTCAAGACTTTCCTTTATCGCACTCCGTTAAAGATACGTACGCTTCTTGATGGGGTCAGAGCTGCGACATCAAATCAAGAAGTAGTTGATCGATATCAACTTTTGATTGCAGAAATCGAAGAAGTAGAAGAAATTATAAAGTGAGTGTTGGTCTCATTGAAGTTATTACCAGTTTTCCAGCGTTTTTCTTGGACATCAAGCTTTTTTTTCAACTATTAAAATAGTATTCCGAATCTTTTTCCTTTACCTCTGTTTCTACAGTTTTTGTAAGACTTTTTTTGATAGCTGTATTAGCCTTTGCAGTGATCTATTTACGGCCATTGTTAATGTCCTGATATCAGTTCCCTGGTTATGCTTCATTCATGAGGGAATACCTTATCTAACTTTAAGTTAGGACTACGTCATAAAGTGATGCGACAAAATTTTAGAAAGCGCATTGTTGATTTGCGAGATCCATGTCAGAAAGACGATCTCCTGGCCTGTAAAGGACATCTGAAGTCATTGTGCCCTTTAATTTTCGCAACCACAAAGGTACTAATGATTTTATGCCAGTCTCACATAGGTTTTTTTATGACTTAATATCTCCAGGCCTTTGTCCGTCATCCTGAAAGCGATGAAGCTAGGCAGAATCGAGACTACGCTCAAGGAGAAGCCGTTTCTACACTGAATGCAATCGATGCCATCTTGAGAGGTTAACTAATTTGACGTTGTTTTCTTGTCGAGAAGCTCCTTCACGCTGTCGGCCTGATTCCTGTGATACTCCTGTCAAAGCTGCCGTATAAACTATGTAATGCTGTGAGTCTTTTAGGTGAGAGACCAGATGTGTCGTTCACATCACAAGGACGATTAGGGCAGCTTATTAGCGAACTCGATCAGTTCCAAGTGAGTCTACCTTTTTTAGGTCACTTTCCGTTGTAATCGTGGAATTATTCCAGAATCGTGTCTACCTTGAGCCAGGCACCTACAAAGCCCACATACATCGGCCCGAGCTTGAAGAACTTCTTGAACGTATCGTGAGTGGGTCAGCTGCCATTGCAGATTCAGGTGAGAAGCTGAAATTGTTACTATCTCTTTTTGCTTCAAAGTTATCTAACATTTAGTCGGTATTAAAGTCTATTTAATCATTCACCTTCCTTCTATACTTGAGAGTTAGGTAGGCTTTCTTCTAATTATGGGGCATTATGTTCTCTCGTTTTACCGTTACTACAATTATTCCATGAATTTTTCAAACATTTCATTTTTTCACACAGGAAGTACTCGTGCAGATCGAAAGCAAAAAATCGTGAATGAGTGCAACAATCTCCGGCAGGCTCTTCAGGATTTGCTCGGTGAATACGAAAAAAGTGTGAGTTGTTATGGTCTGCCTTATTTCCCGTGTTTGCACGCTCTGCATTTAATTCGACTTTCGATCTAGAACTGGGAAAATCGGGAAAAACTCTTATTGTTAGCTGAAATGTGAAATTTGCCTCTTCGCGAACAGTTAAGTCTCAATCCGTACAAGGGATTTTCGATGCCGCGGCACTTTCAAGCAGGATCTTCTAATCCGCTTTTGGCGCTCTTGGCGGCTTAGTGCGGCACCCAGTGTGATCGAAGAATCTATTTGAATAGGGGAAACGAAAGTGTTTGCGCATTCATTTGATTGGTTGGAAGAGTTGAAATAGTCGAGGGCGAGAGGGTAAGCTAGAGTTTGCTATGAAATAACGATGCGGTTGCAAAAGTGAGGAAGACTAAATATATTGAATGGTGAAAACCACTGGGATTGCGTGAAAATATGGGCGGTGGTTAGAACTTGTTTTTTTCATAGCTTGTTTCATATATTTTTTGTCTTTTTTATTGTTGGTATTGTAAAATTATTTCAAGTCTTGTTTTAACATCGGAACTTCCCTTCTCAATGACATGCCGTTAGTCCTGTTACACACTTGTGTTGATAATCACGTGCGAATCGCCCCTCTTGAGTGTGTTTGCGCAGGGTTGTCGGACATCGACGGTCCACTTCATTCGAGAAGGCCCTAGTGGTGAAAAGCTTATTCCGGGAAAATAACTAATGCTGGGCTTATCGAAGATGTATAAGAGCCTGCTGAAAGCGTAATCTAGTTGCAGCGTGGTTTTGTCTAGCATGACATCTTCAATTATGCAAATGAAGTGTCTAGCGCATTCGTAACTAATTGACGTTCGTGAAATTGTCTGCCCGTCATATGGTCGTTAATCAAGGGCAAATGGACTATGTAAGAAAATCCTGCTTTGAAAAGCTAAGAAGATGCATATGAAGTACAAGGTACACTGAGAGTTATCTATGCTGCATCCCATTGCACATATAAATATTCCTTCAACTTGTTAATTTCCTTAGTTTCCTCACCCAGCTGGTTCCAAATGAGTGTAACAAATACCTTTCCTCAAATATAGAGTTGAAGGCCTGACATTTTTTGTGTGCTTTGACTTCTATTTGAATGATGGAGGCTTAAGGGTACTGTAGACTGAAAATGAGTACGGTGAAGGGTCCTGTTTTCCAGTTTCGAATTCAATAGGTCGAAGAAAATATTTTGGGGTCAACCTCGATCTCGAGTACAAGCGTAAGAGGTCTCTCAGATGTGAGCGGGAAGGGCGATTGATATTGAGCCGTCCTACATTTGAAATGTACCATGCATTCGTTTTTCATAAAGATTCTAAAAATTATGTTTGGTTTCGCACTTGCCCCATATAGTAATTTTGGAAGTCAGCCTACGATCCTTTTGTGTTTCCATAAACCCTGAGGTTTTCTTGGAATCTGCTAGCTCATTTTGCCTTTACCACTATTTACTCATGTCCCTTTTCTGATGTCTGCAATGTAGGAAACGGCTGTTCCGTAATCAAAAAGCTCCTTATGTAGCACAAGAGTATAATCACGGTCACCATACCATCTAATATTAATACCAAAGGTTTTCTGGTAGTGTTAGTTATCGGTTTCTCCAATCAGCTTCCTTATCACCAATGTTAGTTTGTGAATGAGTAAGTGGACCCACAAAAATATGCACCGACAGAACGGCTTGCTAATTGTGGGTTGATTAATAAGCAATCGTTCTGTCCAAATTTAGGCTATTTGATTCACCGCTACTGCTGAGACTCTGTAGCAGCTGGAATGTTTTGCTGGTGAGACACAATCCGGCATTTGTTTATAAACAGCTTGGTTGTTTGGTAGGATAGAGTAAACTGACCTTGAGTAAAAACGAACTTGCTCGGCGTACGGAATGACCAAGTCGTTAATTCAAAAGAAAAAGAAAAAACATGGGTGTTCATGGGAAGGTATTGATATTGCACGATTTGTCACGAATGACTCACCTGATGTCACTCCAGAACTACGTTTCTATAATCAGGGGAAGTTCCTACGTAATTGAGAAGTGCACTCATTGTTTACAGTCTTCTTGGTATTATCATTTGCCTTGGTGCTCGAAGTGCTCATATTTGCTTTATCACTTGAAACCAGTGGTGTTGCCCCTCCAGAAGTTCTTTTCATTTTTTGCGGAGTTTTTCCCTTCAATCGGGAACCGTACCCTTTCTCGCTCCCCGAGAAATGAGAAGGGGCTCATCGTGGACGGGAGATAAGGGGTTGGTAAATACGCAAACTACCAGAAGTACATCAAATTTACACGAGAAGTGGCCACGTTTTGATTCTCTATTGCACTAGGCCGGCCAACACTCTGTGTGGTTCGGTTCAAGTGGTGTTACAAAAATATCTGAACTAGAGTTGTCCAGGTTAACTTATCTGTTGAGAATACCATTTTGCCCGCCCTCAATGCGTACTCCTGCGATGACTATCAAAGCAAACATGCTTAGTCATCGGTTGTGGGCGTCATGATGGCTCAAAACCGTATGCCATGTACAACACTGTGACCGTTCATATACAGGGAATGGCTAGATTTGTTGAGAGCTGAGGTATTATGGCATCAGTACAGCGTAATCTTTAATAAAAATGTGTAAGATATCGTTTTCTGATTTTCAACTGAGGACGTATGATAATTGCCAGATCGTGGTCACCGTTTGTCGTGTGGTCTGTTCTTAAGGGAACGATGAGCCAAGGTCAAGCGACAAGGGCTACGTAGCGTATACGATAATACTGCCCACTGGGATGAACTTTTGTATTGTGACGTCAGACAAGTCCGATGGGTTTTTCCCTTCGTAGAACTTACTTTTATTCTTTCCTTTGAAAAAGATTTTATTATGCAATGCCGTAGAAGAAGCGTGACAGTCAGTAAAAGCGTGGCTTACGATATCAGTTCAGTACTGCTTAGGAAACCAGAAGTATTTCCTGAATTCTTACAAGTTTTGCGTTTTCCGCGAAGGCTGTAACTTCTAATAAGATTCAATGTCCGTCACGTAGGGAGCACAAGGATCATTCCGGTTCGGAGGTGCGATCAGGCATAATTGTGATCACGAACGCGCGTGTCAAGGCTAGAGGTCAATGGGGCGAATCACATGGAATGACCGGCCGCAAGAGGGGACTTTTCGTATTCTTTCATATAACTATTATCCTTCTTACTATTTTAGCTTTCTTTAAGAACATCAAAGTGATTCTTATAGACTCTATGTCATTACAGTACACTTGGGGAAGTAGTTAAAATTGTGCTTGTGACCAATTGGATGGAACCTATGATGTTTCAAGTTTAAACTTATAATTGGTAGAGGTATCTCATTATTTTAAATACAAATATACATAAAATAAACAAACATGCAGTAAATGGTTTCGGATATTCAGCTGGTCTTGATACGTAATATATGTGCATGTAAATGTTTTTGACAATTGCTGTTATTTCGACGCACGGCCGTGCGAAATTCTCACAAGTTGTGGGCAAAACTTCAGCATCGAACAGAGCTCAAACCTCAGTTATGCATTAAGTATCTTAAAAGACGACACTCGTGGCAGAATTTGAATGAAAGCACAACCATAACCCAGCTAAGTACATATGAAAATCCTTGATGCAATCGGCAAGCGACAGGGAACAAGCAGATTCACCAATATCATATTTGAACTCGAAAAAACTCTTGGGAAATCGACAAGGAACAAGAAAAATTTGAGCCAACTGACAGTAGTATTTTTGTTAAGATCGTTCCTGGTTGCAACCAGAAATCTGACTACTTTGATGAAGAGAACATGTGGGTGAAGGCATAATGTGAAAGGGGCGTAGGTGAAGCAATTATGCGGGTTATATTGACAGCGCGCTCCCAGGAATAATTGAGAGCATATTAAAAAAACGTTTGCACAATCCAACACTGTTCAATTGCTAATATTTTTGTGTTTTATCGGGCTTTTGATTCAGTGTGGCCGAGAAAACAACGAAGATGTGGACTTGGCAATGGTGCTTGTGGGACGAAAGGCTAAAGACTTAAGAAGGTTTTTTTGATTTTCACGTATTCTACGATTTCCAGTTCCGTGGATGGTTTTGCTGTTTTCTTATAAACTTCGGTTGCAGGCATTTACGACGAGCTGTAGTTGACCATGTGAGCGATGCTTTCTTGGATACAAGTACGCCACTGTTGATCCTAATCGATGCAGCAAAGCGAAGAGATGTTGAAGGAACCACCCAAGCTGGCCATATGTTCCTTGAGCATGCAAACAAATTGGTCGATGTACGCTTTAGTCGTTTTTAATTCGTTTTCATTCTTTTCAAGTTCAAAATGTGACTGAATGGTGAAAAGTTAAGTTTATTAGGAATTTTCGACAGCGGGAGAGGGGTTTTCTCAGAAAAAACAGTGGCAGGACCTTTATAGTTCAACCGTTCTGTCAAAAAGTCATCTTAGGTGGCACACTTGGCATGCGAAATGTCATCTGATGTGGAGGGTGTCCGTATTATCCGCTACACAGCAAACCAATTGAGGGATCTGGCTCCACAGGTTTGTTTGTATTTCAATCATCATTTGCTTATTAGTACTGAGGACTATCATGAAGGTAAAACGCAAGAGTTGAACATAACCTTTTCTAGGTTGTGAATGCTGCTCACTTGTTGTGCGCTCGTGCTGACAGCAAAGTAGCTCAAGAGAATATGGAGATGTTCCGCGATTTATGGCAGGATAAAGTATGTGGATATTTTTGCTTCTGCCCGGCTCATAAACAGTTTTTTAATTGGGTTGTTAAGGTTCGGCTCCTCACAATGGCCATTGATTCAATCATGACGCTTGATGATTTCCTAGCTGTAAGTGAAGCGCATATTGTCGAAGATGCCATGACAGGCTTGCAGGTTCGTGCACTCTTTTATTCCTTAAGAGTGAAAGAAATCATGATGTTGGTAAATTCAGATTTTTTGTTGTATTTATTATACAACACTGTTTAGGCTGTTCACGAAGGCGATGGTGATATGCTTGATCGAGCTTCTGGGGCTATTAGGGGAAGGTCACTAAGGGTATGTTTCACCGTTAGTATCCGAAATAGCGGTATAGCCTTTTAGCAATCTTCCCAGAGATCATGGGGTTTTTCACTCATCACTGATACTGTTTACCTTTCCATATGAGCTTCTTTGTAGGTGTGTTCTGCAGTTGACGCTGAAATGGACGCCTTGCAGCCCAGCACTTACACTGATAGGGTCAAGTTAGCGACGAGGAGATTGAGAGATGAGAGTAAGTTTCGTATTTTGTTATCAAACATTTTTGCCATCCTTCGAGTTTCTTGTTGTTAGTGTTGAGCCAATATGCCATTCGTGCTGAAGCCGTCGTCACACGACTGGAGGCAACTGGCACGAATTCAACTCAGGAGGAAAGGTAATTCTATTGCAGGAGAATTCCGTAAATTAGAAATCCGATGTTTTAGATCGAGAGCGTTTGTGACTTGCATATTATCTTTTTGCGCAGTTCCTCTCACTTCTTCGTGATTCCTATCAGGTATCAAAACTGTGGTGCTTCAGAGATCGCGACTCCGATGAATTTATTAATGCTTGCACATTGGTTCATGACGCTGTGAAAGAGATCCGAAATGCTTTACTTGTCAATCGGCATCCTGAAGACGTGGACTCCGACAACGAGTACGAAGATGATGGTCAAACGAATGTTCATGATAATACTAGTCGGGTTAGTTGGTTTTATTCCCTCATAAAAAGGCCTTATTGCCTCGCGGACTAGTTATGAACTAATCGGTTTTCAATTTTCTGTACTCTAGTTGTTGTAGAAATGCATTCAAGCTAGAAAGATCGAAGTTATACAAGGAATATTCTTTAAAAATCGCTTTCCTCACTGCTCGTTTGATTGCAGATCTCAGAGGGCGAGAACCAGCAGAAAATCATGCGTCGATTGCCTGAAGAAGACAAAAAGAAGATTCAGGAACAGATCGATGTGTTCAAAGTGAGTTTCATGTTTGTCAGAGCGTTTCACTTTTTTTTTCAAAACTTAAGAAACCAAACTTGTAGGCATTTGAGGTTTTTTTCCAAAGAACAGATCGTTATGAATAGTATAGAGGCTTGCTATTTTACCATTCTATGGAGCGGTTAAACGAATTGATTTGTAAGTAACCTTTCTTCTTGTACAGATCACACAGACGAAGTTTGAACGGGAAGTAGCGAAATGGGATGAGAGTGGAAACGACATTATCGTACTAGCTAAACATATGTGCATGATTATGACAGATATGACTGATTTTACGAGGTACGACCGGATATTTATAATAATCATTTTCACAATGGCATGCGTATTCAATCGTTTCTTCAGAGGCCATGGGCCGCTGAAAACAACAATGGATGTTATTCGCGCAGCCCAGGAAATATCTGTAGACGGATCGAAGGTTATTGAGTTTTGCATTTTCTCATTCTGATCTAGTGGAAGTAGGAGGGGAAAACAGTTTTGGCTTTACTAAGATTCATAAGAATTGTGGAAGGCTATGTAAGTGGAACCCTCAGCAGGGTCCTAGATTGAGACTTCATTTTTCGCTTTTTTCTTTTTGATCCTGCTACGACAATCAACACCTTGTTTTAGTTGAATGCGCTGGCAAAACAAATCGGCGATGAAAGTGTGGATTCGAATACGAAGGCAGATTTGTTTGCTTACCTATCGCGGATCACCTTGTATTGCCAACAGCTCAACATTTGCAGCAAGGTATGTGCCGTGCTTACTTCTCTGAATTGTTATTCATTATATTTAATCTAGTCAGTTTATAATTGTTTTGTTTTGTCCCCAGTAGCCCTACCTGTTCAAGGTGAAAGCGGATGTGCAGCAGATTGGAAATGATGTAGTTGTTTCTGGCCTGGAGTCAGCGATGTCGTTAATTCAAACTGCTAGAAATCTTCTTGGCGCAGTCGTATTGACAGTTAAGGCTGCATATATTGCGAGTACCAAGGTAATTTTTTTCGGTTTTGCAGTCACTTTTTCGTTCAAATGTGCATTTTGACGTTTATTTTTCTATCAAAACTATAAGTAAATGGTTTCTTCAGTAAACCCTCTCGGTATGTCTCATAATTTGAATAAAATTCCGGGCAGGTGAATATTTTCATTATGAAATCTGATAAAATATAGTGTGCACAAAGCGAGCGCGCTCGCGTAGAAGCAGCAATGGCTTTGTGTACTTCTTCAATGCACCCTCAGGAAGACGGTGAGAAAGTGTATTGTACAAGTGTTGTTGGTTGCTGTACTTGTGTCGTAATTCCGTGGAGTGTCTAGACTGAGCATGTTTTTTTTTGAAGTGCAGTGGTTATAGTAGGAGTTTGTTAGTCTTGAAAGGATAAAGTCTTGAGGCGTTAATGAATCCCGCCTGAGGGATGCGCCCACGCATTCGACTTCCATTCAGAACCTTGGTGGCGTATTGAATGCGTATTTGACCTATGCAATGACTTGCGGTGGCCAGCCGATGTACAAGTCAGCGCTTTTTATCCTCCCAGACGAGTCTGGTACCAGTTAACCGACCCCTAGGAACGAAAGGCTTGGTCTGCCCAGTCGGATATCGATCCGGGAATTGGACACGTGACCATGCGTTTGTAAAGTGCGCCGCTTGCCACTACACCATTTCTGCCATGAAATTGTAAGCAGCAATTTAAAATGTCGCAAATTTTACTTGTGATGCTTCTCGAGAATTGCTTTACACCAGCGGCTCCAACTCTACTGCGCGATAATCATGTGAATCTGAATAAGTGCTACAGTATTTGTAGGGAAAATTTTGTATCATTTTGGGTCGATTTTCTCTTCCCTAAGATCATTTGAGAACATGGTTTGTTGTGCAGTCCGTCGAATAACAGCTGAGGATATAAGTTGCCCCTAATTGTGATTCGATACGGGACGTGTGAAATTTTATTGCGAGTTGATATGGAGCGTGTGCACGTGTTGTGCTTGTTCAAAATACTCTGAACAACAGTTTAGATTTCCAAATTTCAGTTTCGACGTCATAACTCTGCTGCACCTCAAGTGCAGTGGCGCATGGCACCACCAATGAAGCAGCCGTTAGTGCCTGTGCAAAAGAAGCACGGCGTGATAAGGCGCGCGAGTGAGCGACGACCGATGGCGCCAGCTCGTGCTCTTGCCGAATTTGTACAGTAGTTTGAAGGTGTGGGTTGAGTGTTATTTTGGCACATTGTCGCGTTAGGCGCCATATCCGAGGGCGATCTGCTGAAGCTGATGTGGCATTATAGTTTTACAATGTGTAATGTGTGACCTTATGTGTGCAGAACTCGATTCGTTGACAGCTTGACCGATTAACTGTTGATCTTCCCTCATTCTGACTTGCAAGAATTGTTGATATCAGATAGTTATCATGTCTGGAGTAAGTAAGTTCTGTCCAACGAAGAGAAACGAGTGTTTAAAGAAGATAACCAAAAATTTGTCTCCCACTGTAGTTAGAGCATACACAGTCGGTGTCAGGCAGGAAGTCGCTACTGCGCTCGTAGAACTCATCCTACTTCACCTCAAGCCTACCAATTGCTTCGATTGAAAAATTTCATGCTGCGTAACTTCTTGCTTGGAAAGAGTTCAAGTGATTGGCTGCTTTCAGACCTCAACGATTCATCCGTCCGTCCGTCCGTCCGTCCGTCCGTTCAGCGCGTGCNGCACGCGCTGAACGGACGGACGGACGGACGGACGGTCGTCGAACTCTGAAAGTAGCCATTGATAGCCGAACTAGAACATGGGTCGCAGCTCTTGACTCTTGATTCAATTAGTTCAGGTTAATTTTGGTATGATTTCGGCTCGCAACGTGATGTTTTGTGTTGATTTTGTACTCACTTCAAGCCTACCAATTGCTAAGACAGCAAGTTTGTTTTGCTTTCATCGAGAATGTTATATCGCTCCATGTATGTGCAAAAAGGTCCAGAAAAACTTTTGCAAGGTAATCCTCATATACTTCATATACTACGAAAAAACAAAAAAAGGATTTTTTTTTCTTATAAAAAACAGCCTTCTTCGTGGACATATCTCATTTCTCCATCCCATGGCATTCAAGAAAGGCAGAGCAATGCATTCATTTAGTCCGATTTTTCCATCTGTATCTATTTATCCTTATTGTATTTGTTTGCATTTGATCACCAATCATAACATTACCAAGCGTGTAATCATTCCCGTATTACTTAGCTATAATCTTTGATATTCCTCTTTGCCATTGATACCGTTGCCTTTTCACTTGAATAATGTATGCTTTTTATCCATTATTGAAATGTTCTTTGCACTCAAGATGTTATACTTTGAACAGGTAAATAGTAAATAAAGATGATTTTAACCGTTGCATTTTTTATCATGTGGTAAGATTTTCTTGAAGATGACTTAACGGCAATGTATGAGACCTCAAGGAAGCATATGAGTCGGGTGAAAAAGGATAGCCCTATGTAGTAATGATCACGACAACTTGAAGGCACAGTTCACGAAATCATAGGTTCCGAGATTGCCGCCTAGGGTGCGTTTGTGGCCCTCAAGAATAGGCTTGGTTGTTTGGTCGAAAAACAGCCTAGACAGGTATAGGACTCCCAAAACAACTGGGCCGACATATACACCTAAAAGTGGCCGCGTTGTCACGGCCTGTTCATTCACTCATTGCTCATCAATTCCAACATGTATGCTCCATTGTTTATCCACAATGGAGCACAGAACTTGGGAACTCAAACTGCTGGGAATCCATTGTGACGGTGGGTGCTTTCATAGTAGAACGTCGAACTCGCCGAACTCATTCGAAAAAGGATATCGTGAGTGCGGCATATTAGATAAAATCATGCCAAGAATAGAAATCGCACATCGAGTGAGCTGTATGAAGAGCGATACAACTGCAACAACGAGGCAACTACATAGTCCTCGACTGCCGCGTGCGGCGGCTCAGTCACACGAGACCGATTAAATTGCCGGTCTTCCGGTATATCAGTCAAGCCTCATAACTCGTTCCCTCTACTCTCACCGTGTCGTCTGTCTCAAGATGGGGACAGAGGGGGATGAGCGATTCGTGCGATTCTGGGTGCGCGCGGCGAAATTCGCGATGATTCAAACAACTCTGGCGTCTATCATTGGGGCACAAACTTTAAGTAGAGTACTTCAGTACGGTCGGACAATCCTACTAACTTTACTACTACTACTTTACTACTAATTACTACTACTACTACTTTACTTCAAAATTGGGCCCAAATGATAAACTTTGCAGTGGCCAAATCGCACCGAATTTCGCCGCGCAATTTGTTGCGCGCACCCAGAATCGCACGAAAAGCAACACACCTGGGGACAGACGACAGGCAGATTGTAGGGTGTTTTTGTTTGCCCGTCAGCAATTGTTTGTCCAACCCTAGCCCGAGTAATTTTCTTGATCGTGTTCTATTTAAGATGGTAAATTACCAATATCATTTATTATGTTTAATACATGCTCGAGTTAGACAATAAATTTAAGCGACCAATACACAGGAATTGAAACACACGCAAGAACAGGAATCACCTTGGGACCTTACAATTAGTGCAGTCCGCTTCACACGAATGAAATCGAAACGAATTCGAGAAAATAAAATTTATTGCCAAAGTTTCTAGAACCACTCAGTATAACGGTTACAACGACTGTTCTGAATCAGGCAAGAATTATTTCAGTTAAATTCCAAGAAGCACTGCTAATGGGAAGATTGATTAATCGACTTTTGATGATTCTATTGGAATCAGTTTTGAAATCACAGTCCTTTGAATAAGTTTCCAGCAGAGATTTTCTTCTCTCATAGAACAGGCAGCAACCCGTCGGTGCAATAAGGATAGAAAAATAAAATGGCTTAAATCTGATTTAATTAGCTGCCTCATCATAGTAGAATTCAATAGTCTTCAAATTATAGAAAATCTGAAAAGAGAAGTCTCTCAAAACTGACAACAAAATCTTTTTTTGCCGTTTGAGATTTAGACCAGTCAGAAAAACATGTGTACTGCTCTATTTCACATAGCGACATGGCAGCCTTAGTAAGACTCATGTCAAATGAGGAACTGCATTAGTACCAATGGTCCAAGCTTTAAGTCAAGAACTATGTACACTTCGATCTGCAACTGCCGTAGAAGTGTGCCAAATTTTTATCGTTTATGTATACGAATTTAGCGACAACTACCACCTCTGCAACTCAAGCAAGAGGCGCTCATCGCGATAGTTAATGGGCCCTCCCTGTCCACATTATTTTGTTGAATGAACAGGTGGGACACGTACGCATTCAAACATCTACGAGCCCTAGAGAGACGTTGAATGATAAATGATGAAGACTTGGAGTGTTAAACAACCCATCGAGGGATGCGCTAACGCATTAGACGTCCATTCAGAATCGTAGTGCCTTATTGAATACGTATTTGACCTATACAATGACTTACGGCGGCCAGCGATGAACAAATCAGCACTTTCATCCTCCCAAGCGAGTCTAGTACCAATTATTCGACCCCGGAGGGATGGACGGCTTGGTTGGCCCAGAAGGATATCGATCGGGGCTTCGAACCCGCGACCATGCATTGTGGAGAACGCCACTTGCCACTACACCACCGCTGCTCGACGTTGAACGATAACCACAGAAATCAATCATATAGCCAACGAGACATCCACATAAGCTGTCAACCGGCTATTTTCTACTAATTGCTTACTAACTTCCCAGACAGTTTATTACTGCATACGATAACTTGATAACAAATAACTGTAACTAAATGCAATAACAAAAAAGGAAAAATACATGATATGGTCAGAGAATACGGATAACAATGTCAAAACACGGCATTTTTCAAATTCCTGAATGATGCAGTAGATACGGAAAGAAAATAATACCGCCATTTGACTTGGGAAAAAATAACACTGTGTTTTGGTCCTACTCAATGACTTTCAATTATTCGTACTGCTGATGTTACTGACATCCACTCATGCATCTTAAAATCCAGTCAAGACGGTTTTTCAGCCAGCACCTCGAGCATTTCTCAAATTACATTGTCGCAACGTGGAACCCGTACGGGTCCACGACGTGATAAAGCATGGTGTCCACATGCGTCGTATCCAAATCAGCATGTAGACATATAACTGAACTTCACCATTAATCTCTCTAACACCAAAGCTTCATACTGCCCTTACCCTTTCTCATGTTTCTATCTTAGCACCTGGTACCCGCCAGAAACACAAAATAACTCATAAACCACTCAAGAATCGCCCATCCTGCCCTGAAGCCCCAAAGGAACAGCAACATCAGAAGATGGTAACCCATAAAAGAAAATAGAATTGCGGAACAGAAACACACATTAATGACATGAAAATGTAACCGGACGTATACTCAACGAAAACCTTCACCAGGATGAAATTAAAGAAGTCTAAAAATCTAAAAAAAAAAGTACTCTTCTAAGATTTTACGAGAAAAACTCATGCGAAAAATCTAAAAATAAACGATAAAAAGTCACGTACAGAATCTTCTTTGAGAGAAAACAATTCATAAAGTTTTTGAATCAGCAAAAAATGATTCTTGCGGCTACCCTCTGAGCACCGACAGCGTTTCATTTAAAGCCTGTAGCCAGGCATGGAGAAGCTCGTTAGAATCCGCAGAAAGTAACACACTGAAATCAGGAGAGTGAACGCTTCCACGAAATGTGCCTCCTCGAAGTGTTGCGACTGATTGCAAACGTGTTCCTTCTACTGACGAGGTCACGAACTCGAACGCAATTAGTCCACTAAGGACCCTACCCCACATGCTACGGTACTGACTGCTTCACACGCTCAATCCGATCAAACTGAGCTACTTTCCCTCTACTCAATGATTCACTTTATTTACCCAAATCATCCATCACAAGACTTCTGCAATTCTATTCTACAGCTCCTTTCACCTAATGTATACCTCCAAGCTACTGTGTACTTAATTTCAGGTAAGTTTTCACAGTAGGCGTGATTTTCCACGACCCAAACATACCGTTTCTTCTCCATCATTGAAGGCGTTGTAGTCACCAGCATATCAATACTGAAAGAATTCTCGCGTGGACACTGCTCTGAATTGCACGCCACAACTTCGTCATTCGTGCACTTACTCAGATCCATGAACGCCACTGGACGCTGCAAAGAATGTCACTCAGTTTGAGACGGAGTACGCCAATCAAGAAAGTCATTGAAGAGTCCGCAAGCGTTAGCTGGATGCAAGGGGGAAATCACAAGTTACAAAAAAAGAGGTTCGTTCACTTAAAGCTACTGTAGCTAAGGGCGCACACGGCACAGAGCTAATACTGCGAGGTGTGAAAAAGCGAACACAGTAAGTGAACATTGACAGATGTAAACAGAAGCATTTCTATAACTCTTGTAATGGAGCAGAAAGAAAGAGAAAGGAAGAAAGAGCAGATATAATTATCTGCAAGAGGAATGAAAACAAAACAGCTAAAGGGACAGAACCTTTTCCAGTGATTCATCGTCCGGATATCGCCAGAAATAAACCATACCACGACGCAAGACGGCCCAGTAGCGTTCCCATGATGCCATGCCGCTCACCGTTTGATACATCGTCTGTTTATAAAAGAATTTTACACCACCCATCTTGTATTCTCAAAACAACCAAACTAAAAGGGTCCAACTCCCAAAAAGAATTTTGAAGCTAAAGAACAAGAGGAATATTGTCCATGTCATCTATAATAAAAATGTCACTCGAGAATATGGATATTTAAGACAGCAGCTCAGCTTACTAGATTTATAGTGGAACACGCTGAAATAATGTACTCTTTCTAACTTGGGCAAGGCAGTTTCCCCAAGTCTTCCTCGACAAGGCCAGATGACCTGATTATGAAATGATGATTGTCAGTGGAAGGCGCAAGTGGTACGGTTACCTTTACTGCTGTACTGGGGAGTTAATTTCTAGGCGATTACTTAACCCAAGAAATTGATTTATTCGCTAGTAGACTTGATCCTCTTGCTCAAAATAGGGTTCAAAAAATCCTCTAGCCAATTAACTATAATAGAGTTGAAAATATGAAATCCTTCAAGACACTTAAAGTTAGAACGCCTACCAAGAATCCACGATTGTCGACCTCTATTGCTGGAGGAAGAGTGGTGCAGCGCGCATACACTTCAATTATGCCTTCTAGTGGGTATTCTGCCTCGTCCAGATAGAATTTATTGGCGCCAACCGTGTCCCTATTCAAAATTATGTATCCACAGCGAGCAAACTCGGACGCCTGTGGATCACTGCGATAAGCTGAACGGCCTGGACGAGTCACTAAAATTAAAATGTTTTAAAATAAATGCAGATAATGCCACGGAAAATAAGATAACAACGTTTGGAAGAGAAGAAGTAATTAGCAAAATTCAAAAAGGAGTTTACAGGCTGGATTGAGGAGATTACGACACTTGTTTGCAATATTTGTAGCGCATGACTGATCGGCTTGCTTGACGGTGGGCAACTTCTGGAAGTGGATTGAAATTCAGAGCATATCATCTACATTTGTGCCTGATTGGAAGAAAAGAATATTTCTGTGTTAGAAATCTACTAACCATAGCATACACTTCTACGACCACATTGAAATCGACTGGTAGATTTGAGAACTGGACATGCTCAGCGAAGGTTAGTTGACGAATTCGAATAGGTTGATGAGCTAACAAGGAAATCGGTCCAGTTGCCTCTACTTCTGCACCACACTTGAGGAGAATCAGAAGCGCATATGATGTATCTGTAGCACATGTCTTAATTCTCAGCTCCCCATCCAAACGGACCCAAACGCCTCCCGATATGAAGCGCCCTTACGAGCAATAGTTCCTTTAATAGAGCAAGTAGATAATTGAACATACCCTGATCATATTGTCGCTGACAGAAACTTCGATTCAGGTGAACTGTGATATTTGAGATCGTCATTGTACCCCGCAGATCTCGGCTGACAGGAGGAGGTGGGTTCCGCACCGCAGCCAGAGCCGAGATACGGTTTACCTCACATCGCAGAAGTTCGAGACGTTCGCGAGCCAGCAGAAGGGTACGCTGCGCAGATAGCTGAAGTACAACGACAGAGACTTATGACTCTACAAGAGCTTACAGAAAGTTACCAAAGCTTCGTGTCCTTATACTGCGACCCACCTCTTGCATGGACTTCTGCTTCTTACGTGCCAGTGCCAGCACTTTCAGAGTCATTTCTATCTGCTCTTCTTGAACACGGATTTGATGATTCAGCTTCTGAAAACGCCAACACTCATATGCTATCAAGAGGCATCAACAGAAGATTTAAAAATTCAAGGCATACAGCAATTTGACGCTTGTATTCCTCATGAGCGTCATGAAGATGGCTCGCAGTTGTGATTGTGCTTACAAAGGAATCATCAAGATTCGGCACTTCAGGTGGCCCTGAGCGAAATATTCTCGGTGATTACGATTGAAGCAATATCTTAATTGAGAAAACACACCCTGACTAAATCCTGTGCCAGCAGGAGAATTGACAGGTGTCGATGTCGCAAGCGCGGATGGTTGCGTATTGGGACGAGAATATCGACTGATAGTGCTTACCTGGAAAGAAGCGGTTCTTGATATGAAATAAATGAAAAACACTATTGACGAACCTTCTCTCCAACCGTTCCTTCTCTCGACTTGTAGGTACTCACACCAATGCCAGGAGTTGGAGCCGTAAGTGGTGAGAATCGAGGGGGAGCATCAGATGATATCTGACCTATGCGCTGTGCACGCTGCATATCGCGATAGCCACTAATCTAAAAGAAGAATTTGAAAAGAGCTGGAGAGCACTGTAACCAATGCATGTTTTGGATTAATGCGCGGTGAAAAGTGGGGGAGAGTTCGCTCAGAAAAGGCTCGCTCGCAAATTGCTCTTGCTAAAAGACTCACGAGGGGCACAACAAATTCTCTGCCGCTGCGACTGGTGATGACCTGAAAGCAGCCAGGCTTTCAAAGCATAGCTATGTGAACGTATGCGGTTTGGTCAGAAACTTGTGTAAATTGGAGACCGACAACCATTTGTGCTCTTCTATGGATGGAACCGTTCAAATGTCTCAGCAAAATCTCAATGTTTGATCCTCCACTTAACATATGATAAAAGAAGAATGATATGTTGAAGCGTCACACACTGGCTTTCATGAAATCAAGGCAACCCTTGTCGCTGCCCGCCCATCCCTCTGCAACGCGGTAGCCTGGTCAAATGTATTGGGAACAAGTTATTGCCAAGTGCTATGTGGACTAATGCTGCGTAGCTATCAAAGAGTTGAGGCATCAAAGGAAATTTGAGCGGAAAGAGAGAGAGAGGGAGAGGAAATTTCCCTTCGATTGAATAGAATATTGAAAAAATGTTTTACGATGACTCACAGAATACTTCAAAGGTTGGTCTGGTCGATTCGGCCTGGTACTGGTTGGCCCACCACGCGGCGCTGAAGGATGTGGAGGCCCTGTGGACAAATCAGGAGTTTGTCCAACGACGTCGCCTCTAACAATTCCATAATCGCAATGTTTCACTACATTGCTCATATTTTCTGATTCTGTTTCACGTCCCAGAGTGCTCAAACCATCGTGATCCTAAAATTCAAAACTGCTTCGAATTTCACATTTCACCCTCCGGGTATATTTATTGTGCACAAGCTCTTCAGCCCAGTTTGTCAATACGAAACTCAAATAAGCACTCCTACTTGTAGCTTTAGATTCACCAACTTCCGATCGTCTGACTCAAAATAAAATCTATTCAAAAATGATGCTCAAAACAGGAAAACTTAGTAGCAGTGTTATCAATAAGTTACCTCTACAAATTCGAACATTCTATCAATTTCTCCATTCATTTTATCTGTCTCAGTACTCTCGGGTGGCCTTTCACTTGCCACTGTGCTCACAGATTCGGGGCGACATAATCCCTGAAAGATTGGCTAATTTGACCGAATTGAGTTTTACTCCGCATCTTCCATACCTGGTAGCTGACAGGCGGGTGAATCTTATTAGCACTAACACGATGTACCTTGGCATAAATCGGTTCAGCTCTAGAAGTGACCTGAACCTGAAGCAAAAAACTATATTTGATTTTAAATAAGCTTCTAGTGAAAGAAGGCTTGAACTCAAAATTCTGCGCAGGATTAAGGCTAGTTACTTACGCTCATACGGTACGGCTGTTGATCGCTTTGTCCGCGCCTAGGTTGCTCATAATAGCCATGCTGACCGTAATTTGGATGAATGACGGATAACCTGTAAACACTACGGCTTTATCATAAACAACCGGTAAGAGGGTATATTCGAAGCAAACTCTCAAATTGGAAAAAATGGTTGATGAAAATCTGAAAAATGTGTGTGTCTCTAAGTGTTATAAAGAATAGTTGGGGAAAAACAATCGAAAACGTTTAGAGTAAGTGTTCTTCAAAGCAGATCTCTACCAGTGCACAAAGATATGGCAGAGCGGGCTCTTGAATAAACCTTCACTCATTTATACCAGACAATACGACGATATCATACATCTTCCTTTGCTGACATACCTTTCACTGCTGCAGTTTTGATCTCTTCCCATTTTACCGTAACAAGTTGTAAGACTTCAATAGCATACCACATAGTGTATCATTGCACTTAATTACTGTTATTTGACAAAATACCTTTGCGGTGGCGGTGGGGCTCTCATAACTCCAGGTTCCGCGTAATGATGTTCCGATGGCTCTCTATGTGTGGCACTTTCAGCGCACCGTTTGTCACACAGTTCAGACGTCGCAGGCAAAGTTACACTGTCGAGATTGCCGGCTGGTGAACTAGAAAAGTACTATAGGGATGATATGCTCATGAACACCATCACAACTTGCAAACCTCTCCAACCGCTTAGCATTGTAAGCAGCCGGATTCTCCGGATAATGTATTGGAGGAATTCGACCAAATGCGTTCGCGAGGTCCCCTAAACTATGCGTTATAATGAAGTTCGATATCTGTTCATCACAAGAGCAACAGTTACGCATGATAAAGAGAAGCGACCTGCTAAGTGACAACCTAGAGGAGTAGAAGTTCTTCTTAGATCGACTCGGCTATCCGTAGACGTAGCGTCATCGCGATCACCGCTCACTCTTAAAAGAAGTACAACCTGTCACTGCCGTTTTTTCTTTTGGTTTTTTTTCACTGACTCGTTATCATTTCGTTGAGGCTCAGTCCATTCCATGCCAAGACGCTGTGGTTCAGCTGCTCCCAAAGGCTCACTACAGCTGTTTCTCTGAGTTGATGAAAAGTTGGGCTGATTAGCTGTCGACGTGTGACTCTCGGTGTTGTCACCCATAGTTGGAGGGTAAGGAACAAGAACATCTCCTGGGGTAGGATCTGAACAGTTCACATCATAAAAAAGCCGTGAAATAAAAAAAAAAACAAAACCCCGAACTGGAAAACAGTAACCTTTTTCTAAGTGATTGTTTTTTGATGGCACTAGAAATGTTTCATCTTACCTTTGTTAAAAGCATAGTCACGCGGTGGCTCATGTCTCGGTAGCTGTTCAGCACCACGTGATGGATAATCTTGCGACCTCGGTAAAGAGTGAGTTCGGAAACATTTTGTGCGATGTTTCGGAGGTGGGAGCGACTTCCCTCTAAGCACTTCCGATTCTCGCTGAGCTTCCCGCGACAAGCCATCGAAAAGACGTGCCAGGTCCCGTATCCTTCCACGTGGCACATGTCTCCTTCAAAATTTAAACCTAGCTAATTTTCTCATGAACGAGACCTTTGACTGGGATTGCTATCTCACCTCACTGTACTTCCACGATTGCTTGAGCGATTCTCATTTGACCGCACATCAGGCTCCCTGGGTTCTTTGCAGGTATCGATCTGTGGCACTTGCCACTTGTAAGGTGAGTTATCTGGAAAAACTACCTTAAAAACAACAAGCACGGCTCCAGATTGAAAAACAAATTCGAATACAAAACAAATCAAAACCAGCCAATTTCGTAATATACGGTATTGATGAAATGCCAAAAATTCGGAGCGCCACATTCACTGAGAGGATGTAACGCGGAGCATGATGAGATAAATATGGCAATCTCGATGAAAACGTATTGCGCGTGTGCTGTAACAGCTGCTAATGAAAAGAAAAGATACAACCTCCTCGCTCGCTGGCAAAGTTGCGACGTTCCCATCCTCGGAATGTCGGACTCCATAAAGACGATGGTGATTTCATCTAAATTTCATTGTCGTAAGCAAGATGATGGGAAGAGGTAACTTTGTTTCGACATAAAGAGATTTTCAGCATTCTTAATATCTCGAAACTTGCTTTCATTGAAATACGTGTTTCATGTTTTGGTGTACTGTACAGAACGTCTTGGTTAAGTGAAGAGCTCTTTGGCACTGGATCAGTCATCGAGAGATCTTTAATGTCAATTAAAAGTGGCATTTCGCTCTCGCCATCACCGGCCTTCCTGCTTGGCGTAGAAGGCAAACGCGATTCAGCAACCACCTGAATTGGAAATACCTTGTACTTTATCACCTAAAACAAAAAGTAAACTTCTAGGATTAAATCACATACTACCAAGCACATTTATTTAAGGGTCTTACCGACTTCCTCAGCTGTTCCACTGTCTCTCTCGATATCACATTTGACTGGCCCGATTTATTGAGCATTCCGTCCTGCACTCGATGCGGCACCTTCTGAGGATCTTGATTTTTAATATATTTCCTTGGAGAACCAATCAACGGTAATTGCCCGAGCTTTGCTCCGCCAGCATTAGCCTTCTGCATTGGTTGAAGAGTGTAGTTTATATGCGGTCGAGATCCGTCACAGTAATCGTTACGTTCCACCAGCACTTCACGTTCTTCAAATACTTGGTCAGACAATCTGCTGTACTGAAGCTTGTCCATATCCTGATGCGGGCCATTCGACTGAGTGCTCTTCTTATCTGTCTGTATCTGATTACTCGCATCTGTCCAGCCACTACTTCGCACCTCGTTAAAGTTTTCGTCAAGCTGAAACAGGTAAGTGTTTTGAAG